TTCAAATGTATTTTCTCAATTTCATTTGATTTGATTTTCATTGCTAACATGTCCATCCAATGAATTCTTCTGATGTCACTGCATGCATTTGTGATGCTACAAAGCACTTTGTGTAGACCATCACATGACCGCTGCTGACACTTGTTGTGGATGCCCGGGCGACACTCTCAATAACTAATATGCATCTACGCCTGGACGCTCTGTTGACGCCCAGTCATTAAAACATTAGAAAGCCATTGCACAACTTTGCATTTTTGCCTTACCTCGAAAAGCAAGGTTGATGAGCTATTTAATAATTCACAAGCTGTGAAAAGACAAAAACCCGAATTGTAGTATGCTCTCTTCAAGGATGTGCTAGCTATCGCTGGCTATCGCCAACAAACTATATCCTAGAACGACTTCCTTTTCATCCACGCTGCAGTGCACATTCACACACTGCCTTACAACTCAACAACTGCATGTCATGAATAAATATGTACAAATCATAGCCAAATATTACAGCTATTAGCGGTACACGCAATTAATGACTTTGGGTCCAAAGCCAAAACATCCATCTCAGTATCCACAGCGCAACTGTGTTATTCAGAAAAGGCAACGTAAATTCCCTTTGCATATTTCCATCCGTGCTCACACTGTGTACACTGTGAGTGTGTGCAGTGTGTGAATTTCAACAGAGCCCTGTTGCCACGACTGGAGTGCGGCCGTTGTGTACAGTACTTTCCACAAACGAGGATTGCGTAATCCTTACAGTCAGTTCCAGCAGCCAAAGAAACTGAAGGTTTGCATGGGTGTAGGCAGACTCTACAAACAATTTACATCCGTCAAGCCTACTTTGTGTGTGCGTGTAGTTGCATCATCTGTCACACTTTTGGATCGTAATCAGGCTCGCGGCCGCTTTACTTCATTTAACGGAGCACTTAACCTCATTTTTTGTCAGGTGCACAAAAGCCTATCCCAGATGACTTTGGGTGAGAGGCGGGGTGCACCATGGACTGGTTGCGGGCCTACAGTAGGGCACACACAACCAATCATTCACATCTATGGGATGATTGAGACTCTTCAATTAACTGAATTTGCATGCATTTTGTAATGTCCAATAGTCGGAATAGCCCGGAAAAAAAAAAACATGCAAGTGTGAGGGCAAAGTAAACTTCAAACAAGAAGGCCAAAGCCTGGATTTTGCCACAGTGCTGTTGAGAAAAAAAAAAAAATTAAACACGAAAATTATTGTATGTATGATCATTCTATCAGATACATACTGGGCTAATCAGATCAAATGTATCAGACACACCATCACTAATTCGTTCCCAAGACCATCTGGCAATATAAAGTGCTTTAATGTAGACTCTTTCCATGTCAGTTTGAACAATAATGAGGATTTTTCGATTGAATTAACTTTTAAAAGCCCACATTTCAAATGAGCCGGGCTTCTCAGAGCAGTGACAAATTAATCAAACAGAACATTCAATGTACTTAAAAGTGTTTGAATCTCATACGTTTTGGAAGCCTGCTGTAACGGAGAAAGCGCAGTCAAGTTTGATGGAGGTGCCCGCAGCATTTTTCTCTTGATGATGTCATTTTGTCAAGCAGGCTTATTTGACTGCGCTTCATGTTTTTGGTCTCCTTCAGGTTTTCACATGATATTGAATAATCAAAATAAGTGTCAACATTCCAAAGAACAACCTTTGGGTCGTCTCAAAAAGGCATCTGGTCCCAGAGCTGCTTTCGATTCGCAGGATCCAGAGTTCATTCCACAGAGCAAATTGTTTGGGATAACAAAACTGGGTAGACGGGTTTGACGACACGTGTTGTGGCCTGGAGGAGAATACCTGAAGATCAGTCAGCGGTTTAAAAGGAGTCAGGATATAGTGAGACACAAATTTGGGGAAGAAAATTGCAAGGAATGAATGCTTTGGGAGGTATGAGAGCTTAGTAAGGTGCGGCGCAGTGAGCAGAGTTGTTATTTCCTACCCACCGAGTATGCCGCGGCGAGATAACGATTCAACACTTTTTGCACAGCATGTGGGAATTTGGAATGTGTTTTCTCTCAGAGAGGCATTGTTTTAGATCGCGGCGGCTACACCTCTCATGTTGCTCACTCCCCCTGCCGACCAATAAGACCCCATGAGTGCAGTAACAACATGCCGCCACCCCGGCCCACTGCTTTGAAACACAATCTTGGCTACTTGGTTATCTTCACTGGATGTCTCTCTATTTTCCCCACTCGCTCACTCGCTCGCTCACAAACTACACACACACAAGGCTATGCAATCAGTCACAGCAGACACATGAAGACACTTACACACAGCGGGGCAGGGGCCGACTGTTTCGCAATGTAGGGGAGTTGGAGCTCTGTGAAGGAAGACTCCATCTGTATGAGAAGGAATATTGCACTGTATTTCTTTTGACAGCCTTTACCTGGCACACCTGCACCACACTGCCCCCTACTGCAACCAAGACACACAAAGCAACAAGTTAGAGACCAGCGTCAATCACGTTTGGATCTCTTGGGTGAGGAAGACTTGAAGGAAGTAACAGTTAAGCACACAATTATTCATACCGTGGCCCAATTTTGAGGTCAAGTTTTATTTGGCAAAGGTGAAATCAAGGCTGGAGGTGCCACAAGAATGATTCAGATCACTGTAAAAGTAAAATAAAATACTTTTTATAGACCGCTTGAGTGAAGGCCAGTTAAGATTGTCGATCCCAGCGCACGTGTTGGAAATATTAAAAAGAAACGTTTTTACTGTGGCAATTTTGAAATAAATCAATCATTTACTTCATTCTAATCTGGTTTCGATCGAATCCCAGGGGTTCGGTGAATCGGTCTCAGGGGTTCAACGGACACTCTGCCATGGAGATGAAGAAACACCCGACTCAACATGTCAATTAGTTATGACACGCCCACTTGGCCATCACCGGCTGCAGATGATCACATTACATTGCTTGTCCAATTGGTGCTGCGGGAAATTTAGTTCGCTCAGTTGTCACTGTGTGACTGTCGTGATAGTATGTCATACAATTTAAAAAAACTATACTTAGGCCAGGTAATTTTATTTATTTTTTTCTGTTTTTAATAAATGTGTTTTATTTATGTCTTGAATTTCCTAAATCCTAATTTTATTTATCACGAAAGAAGAGTTCGGTGAATGTGCACATGAACTGGTTGGGTTCGGTACATCTAACAAGTTTAAGAACCATTGCTCTATAGGGATGATGGTATCATTGAGCATTATCGAGAATACTTTAATCAACTACGGAGACACAATATTTGACCATTTTGAGAAATGTAATATTTTGTAAATCCACTAGCAAACGTGCTTTCCACCAAATATCTTCACCCTCTCGTTTGCCACTTTCCTTTCTTCAAACAAAAATAGTGTCCATTTGTCAAATCCCAAAACTGTCACGCAACAAATTTAACTTGACTAATAATTTCGATATTAACGGTGAATACGTCTTCCTCTTCCCGGGGAGCGGTGGTGGTGGGTGGGCGGGGGGCTGTTTTGTTACATGTGAAGTAAATAGACTTGACAAAATCTAAACATGATACAACAAAAGTGTACAGTTTGGTGCAAATCCAAATTAGGAATTAGTGCTCGACTGCATTCCGTTCATTTTCGTTGGCCATGGCACAATATCCAGATGTCTCCGGAGCACAGTGGCAGAAGAACAAGCCCCCATTGTACAGCTCATCTGCACGGGCGTGTAACCTGATGCTGTTATGTAATGCTTGGCTCGGGCAATTTGCACATCTGAAGAATGAAGCCCAGGGATGTTTAGCCAATCAAGGAGAAAATATGCAGGATGTTTGTAGTGATTTCCTATTTTTGAGGGAAGTATGCTGTTTTCTCCATTTTGGTCAATGAGTCAACCTCGACAAAGTGTTTCCACAGAGTTTCACAGAGTGCCCACACGATTCGTTTTCATGTTTGACTGGCACAGATTTCCATGAGGAAATAGCTCCATGCAGCTTGCTCTTCATTGGAGCTTAGCCACTCTAGTTATCCAGTAAACCGTTGATAAATAAGTCAGGGGGTAAGGGTCGTCTCGACAGAGTGCTGACTAAATAAAATGGGTGAGATGACATCATACATAGTCGTCGAATGTGTTTCGTTATACATGGGGCATGTCCCACATACTGAGAGATAAAAATCTTTGTCCACTCTGATGGAGTTGAGAAAATATTTTTGAAAATAATAACATAATATGAAATAAAATAAATGAAGGTGGCCCGGTGGACCAGTGGTTAGCGCGTCGACCTCACAGTGCAGAGGTACCGGTTTCAATTCCGGCTCCGGCCCTCCTTTGTGGTGTTTGCATGTTCTCCCCGTGCCTGCGTGGAATTTCTCCGGGTACTCCATTTTCCTCCCACATTCCCAAAACATGCATGGCCGGTTGATTGAAAGCTTTAAATTGTCCCTCGGCTGGCAACCAGTTCAGGGTGTACCCCACGTACTGCCCGAAGACAGCTGGGGTAGGCGACAGCACGGCCGCGACCCTCGTGAGGGTAAGCGGATTAGCAAATGGATGGATGGATGAAATGAATCCGTGTTATTAATGCAAGACAAAAGAAAGTCAATTATGGAAAGTGCAGACTCAGGAAATCAAATGGCAGTAGTAACTAAAAACTGGAGAAAAAAAACGGAGGCTTTTTTTTTTAGCTTTGGAACAAACAAAAACTCCTGACTTTGACCTAATGACCTAAATGTCAATAAATGTCCACAATTTGAAAATAACTCAACAAAGAAAAATATGAAACATGCCTGTGTTTTATCATACCACTGATTTTAAATTTCACAACCGATTTAGCAATTGAGTTGGAACCAGAGTCCACTTGGTGATGCTTACCATTAATGAATAAATCAGGAAACAATCAGGAATTCCCCTCCAATTTCATGACTAATCCTGCCTTCCTTCCTCTAAGGCTCCCCTGATAAGGCCCACTTTCAGCTGCCCTTGTGGAGACACGTCCTTATCTGTGCTCTTGTTGTGTTTAGGTACAAACAGCACATTCCTGCGGGGGGAGAGGGGCGTGCGCTGTTGGATCAGAACACAGCCCTCAAGTTGGAAGGTCAGACAGCGATGGAAAGGGAGGATTGAAGGTAAAAAAGAGTGTGGGAGGGAATGGGTGAGGGACGGGGGGGGAGGCCGAAATGAGCGAAAAAAAAAAAAAAAGGCGCCGCACACAAGCTCTGGGTGGGAAGAATGGGCGAAGGGGGGAGTACTAAATCATGGGGCGTCTGAAAGATAGACGACCCTGGGAAGAAAGAGTAGTGGCAGAATGTCACTGTAAAATGTAAACTGCAGTCGCAACTGGAGGGGAGTCGTGGAGAAAAAGCAGGAAGGCGATAAGAGCCAACCGAGAAGAAGACTGCATAATTACCGCTTGGCACCCAGCCGCAGTCGCGGCGTAAACAGTCTTAATGAGAAGCCGTGGCGGAGAGGACGTGGGAGGCCGCGAAAGTCAACTTCTTCCTTTCCCTGAACTGTGATTGGTCATCGGCTGCCACTCCCAAAGTCAAAAAGCCAAGTGACAAGATGTCCAGAAAGAAAAGTTAATTGAAAACGCAGCGGGAGGTGTTTGTAGGACTTTCGAGAGAACTCATTTGACGTGGAATGACAGTACCCCACCTGGTGGCACAGTTTTCCTTTTTGTGACCATTTACATTTTCTATTTAATACAGAGCAGATAAATAAATCGGTCCCATCGTCCTGCTTTTTTTAATACAGCTCACTTTTGGAGTGATTTTCTTGCGCTCCTCTGCAACATGCTTAAATAATACGAACTCATTCTTTTGATTTTCTTTTGATGAGGCACAGAAGAAACGGTCCCGCAGCAGATCGCTGTTGTTGCCAAACAGCAGCAGCCCCTCGAGACTGGGCCTCTTTGGAAAGTCAAATCTCCCAAGAGCACCTTCGCTTCAGCTTTGTGGAAAATGGCATCAAGTCAAGGAGAGATGAAAAGATTCTTCATTTCAAACAAAGGAAGAGAAAGCACTGGTTCAAATAAATTTAATTCCAATTTTCCCAACCAGCCTATGAGCGAGTATTGCTGATGCGGCGTGAAAGTACTATTTTCTGAAAAAAGGACAACAAAAAGCATTCCTTCGATCTATGGGTACTTTTCCGATTCATTTCAATCAGGTTGTTTATCAACAGTGAGAAATTACTTTCACGACTAATGTGGATGTGGAAATTCACTGCACCGAGTCCTCTTTCTTAAATGTTAACTTGGCATTTTATTTTTATTTATTTTTGGGATTTGAACTTCTTTCCTTCAGGTACTTCCAGGTCATTTCTTGTCACACAACTGCAATGTGAACAGATTGTTGTCAGTTTTACGACAAATTACATAACTGATGTCTGTATTTGGGATAACAACGTTGCTGAAAGAGAAGTCCAAATGTCAATAAAAACTTTATTTTTTACATTTACATTTTTGTAACTTTGAACATCAGCGAGCCACAAAGCACCTCTTTGAGTCCTCATGGCCCAAATGAGAAGACAGCGAGCACCAAGCTCCAAAAAGGTCAGCGTGTAACCTCCTGACATGTCAACGTATGACCGCCAGACAGACAAATTCCTGGAGCAAATCTTAGCAGCACGGTGGGAGGCGTCCAAATTGTCATTTTGCATTTTCATATACATATGCCGCAGCTCGCATACATATGTGATATTTTTCAACTCGGCGCATGTCGTCTCACTCACTTTCAAAATGTGTACGGGGGAGAATGCAGCCACGCAGGAGCGTGTTTGCCTGCGAATTGCAGAGGTGACAAAGGCCGTAGCGCAAAGTCTCACATACTAGCTATAGAGCGCACTGCTCTTTGCACCATTTGTGATCCATTAAATTCATACGCGGCCGCAGTGATGTGGCGTGGAAAAAAAAAGAAGAATTGGAAGACAGAAATGCGTGGCGTGGAAAAAAAAAGAAGAAGAATTGGAAGACAGAAATATAAAAAAAAAAAAAAAAGGGGGGTGGAAAGACTTTGGAGAACTTAATGCTTTCCAGACGTGCATATGGTCGTTGAGGATGTCTGAGGGCGGCGACGAACAGGCGAAAGGTACACAAAAGGACTTCCTGAAAGAAAGGATAGCCTTATTTGAGAGGGATTTCCCTCAAGCTTCCTCCGCTCCATTGAAAACGTCTCATTTCATGTGAGGCGGCCGTTGGGTAGCCGCAATGTGATTATATGGTAGGAATGAGTCGGTCATCTGAAATAGACTCCGAATTCAAAAGGCACTCAAAAGATGGGCTGGGAAAAACCAATGCAGACCAAAAAATAGGGATGACTTTTCATTTCAATCTCGCTTTTCAAGTTATATAACTCTCTACTGCGCACTCTGCAGCACTATTACTCCTGATATATTTGCTGTCAATGAACAGTTACAGGGCTGCCCTCCATTTAAGAGGCTGTACTCGATTTGAGTTTTCTTTTTTAGAATTACCGGAGGGTAATAAGTGTAAACGAGACTAGTTTTTTTGTTCCACTTGGCAAACGGAAATTGTTAAGCTTACCTTTGACTGCAAACAGCTGCTTAGATATAAAATGGTTCTTTGTCTACTGCACATGTGCCTTGCAATTGACAGTGGAGCAATCCAGAGTGTACGCCAACTTTCTCCCAACGTCAGATGGGATCGGCTCCAGCTCACCTGCAACTCTAACGAGGACGAGCACCACACAAAATTCGGATTTGGTCCGCTGGTTAGCTCAAGAGAGCAACACACCCTACGAAAAATTGAGGCATGGCATCCATTATAGTGGAGGCCATTACTTGAGCAAACCAGCACAATCAAAGCTCGAAATATGTTCGGATTTTCATCGTCTTGTCTTTCCACAAAGGTGGCAATAGCAAGTCATTCACATAATGAACAAGTGCATCACTTGTAGACAATTATCGAGCATTATTGTACAGCCTTGCTGGAGATCTTTCTTAGTTTGCTCAGGTGCAATGATGCCCACATTGCTGGAAAATAGCCCAGTTGGAACGTAATTCAGTGCTTGCTAAAAGAATATCGCCAACTAAAATCTCATTTCAACAAAGCAGCTTCAGTGTATTTGACAATAGCTGTACATGGTTCACATTTATATCAGATGCAAGAAATGATGAGTTGCCAAATTAAAAAAAAAAAAAAAAAAGGAGGAAGTCCTGTGAATTTGTCAAAAGCAACTGTCATTGGCCGATCCTTTCAATTATGTGCCATGTAGAGAAACAGCTCCCTCTCACACATATTGCTTTCAATGGATGATTCTTTCCAAGACCATCTTGGCCAGTTCGTACATTCCTTGTGACCGGACAGTGGTCATTTTTCCACCCACTCCTTTTCAGGCTTTTTGTCCTTAACTATGGAGTGCCTTGAAGGACTTTCTTCATTGTCCACTCAAACGAGCCCATTGTGTCCAAAAACATCTCTCGCAGCAGCTCGACGCCATGGGAGTCGAGCACAAATAAAAAAAAACTCAACTGCGGCGACTGCGGTGTGGTCTTGCACACACTTGTGAAATGTGGTGTGTCAAATCCAGCAGGGCTTTGCCAGGAGGCTTCTGAACGGGGCCCATGGTGTGTGCTCAAAGGAAGGGTAAAAATAATAGCCTGCCGAAACGGAGGCCTTTTTTTCCCAAAATGAACTGATGTGTTTCCTGTTGCCATGGAAACACAGCGAGGACTCAGTTTGGATTTTTTTTTTCTCTTCCTAGCAAAGCTCGGCATCAGTCAGAGGGAGGAGGTTCTGGGAGCAATTACAGAGTGAAGACGCGGGTTGCGATGGGAGAGAGGAGACGCGGTGGCCTTAATGTCTGCATGGAAGAAAGAAGCTGACAGGGTGAAAAAGAAAGTGATTTAGACAATTTATTCACTCTTGTGTAAGCACTATAAGGAGGGGAAGAAAGAAAAAAAACTTTCCACCCCATTGCACTGTAAAATGTGTTACATTAAGTAAAACACGGTCCTATTGGTCAGATCCTGGTCTTTTTAGAAGCTCAGTTCCAAACTTGCCTGAATGCTCATCTAATGTCAACACAACCGCAAGAGGGAAACACGATGTTCCCATTCAGAATTCATGTCTCCATTTCACGTGCAGGACTACACGTCTACACTCTTGCATCCTATCAAAACAGCTGCCACCTGGAAGCGTAAATCATCGCACTCTGCCCAGCCAGCTTCTGCACTGAACGGCTCTAACCGTGTACAGACAGTGTGTACACATTTCAGGTCCAGGCTGGTTGTGAGCCAGACAGACAGACAGACAGACAGACAGCTAGCTAGCTAGCTAGCTAGATAGATAGATAGATAGATAGATAGATAGATAGATAGATAGATAGATAGATAGATAGATAGATAGATAGATAGACAGCTAGCTAGCTAGCTAGATAGATAGATAGATAGATAGATAGATAGATAGATAGATAGATAGATAGATAGATAGATAGATAGATAGATAGATAGATAGATAGACAGCTAGTGAGCTAGCTAGATAGATATATGGACAGACAGACAGACAGCTAGATAGATAGATAGACAGACAGACGGACGGATGGATAGATAGATAGATAGATAGATAGATAGATAGATAGATAGATAGTAAAATGGGTTCAACAAATAGCATATTGTTAAAAAGGTCACTTTTCCACGTCACTGTGCCCATAACTTTATGTAACGTGACATTAAAGAGACTCCACAACAAAAGATGTGTGCATGTCTGTGTGCATGTTTGAGCCAAAGAAGCCTCTCTATAGAATGCGCGAGGGGGTTCAAGAGCTCACATTCCCAGATGGGCGTTCCCTCTCATTTGATAATAAAACCCTGTGTCTAAAAGTGTTGTTGCAAATATCATATAGCAAAATAATCGCTTCCTTATGTGTCCCACCCCCAGTACCCCACCCTGAAAAGACCAGACTACATGGACTCACTCCACCCATGCATGCGACCTCTGACCACCAGGAAGTGTGTCTGAATCGGACTGTTGTTGGGCTTTTTTTTTTTTCTTATTTGCATTTTTCCAAGCGTCACGCTTTGCTTGTAGTCTGATATTCAGTTGCAGTTGACTGGCCACTTTATTAGGAACAGCTTTATTTGCTAATGAGAGCCAATCCACCTTTAGACTGTGTAATTTGGTCCTGGGGCCAGGTTTTTTGATTGTATACATGACACAATATTACAAATGTAATTCATTCAAGATAAATGAATAAATACCATTCATTGTCATCCACACATTGTCATTTTTGTCAGGAGAACCTGCGCAAATGTGGAGATCAATGTTTTGGGGTTTTCTTTCACTTTTGTTGATAGTTCAACTTTGGGGCAGGTCTGTGCTTTACTATTCTAATTCAACAATGGTGTGGTTGTAGATTTGCAGTGGTGCTGCAAATTACATCACCTGCATTAGCTTACTCAAGATAAGATGCGACAATCTTTTGATGATCCTCAGAGCGGAAATCCTGGTGCCGTAGCAACGGACAGCAGTTTGTGCAAACAAACAAAAACTAAATGGAGTGTGAATACATGGAAAGAAACAATAAGAGTTTCTCGGAAAGTAAGATAAAAGCTCAGATATCATGATTTGGCAAGAATACAGGGAGGCGGCGACATGTACAGGTAATGCAAACGCAGCTCAGGATGGCGCAGTGCAGCTTTGCACATCAGTGGAATTAGTCAGTATCACTTCATCAACATTTACAAGACAAGACTAAGTCTGTCTTTCCTCAGCTCCATTCTCACACTCAGCCAGCAATGTCACATCGTGACAAAGTCAGCTTTGTGGCGTTGTTCCTGACACACCAAAAAAAAAAAATTATGCAACAGTATTGAAGCTGTGACTGAAGGCCTGCTGTAGGAGTTTCAGTGGATGTTTCACTGAAATTCTGTATTGTGGTTTTTGTCCTCCTACTGATTTAGGTGTCCAGTTATGAGAAGCCAAAGGCTTGATTAGCAGCTGACCCCCTGTCAAATACTGGACAATCCTTTCACTGGGCCTGCGAATGAAACTTCACAGTTGTAGAGCTGTCGGGGCTTGCTCTGATTTAACGCTTTCCGTGGGTGTTCTGGCCTCGGAGGTCACAGCAGAGAAAGGATGGTCCCCTTGAACAAGAACTCCACAGTCTGAGTCATTCAAGTCAGCCAAGTGGCTGATTTCTCTCTCTCCATTTCTCTCTCTCTCGCTCACTCACTCATTGTATGATTTAATTTTTTGTTTCCCAAAGAACCGGCTACCACAGTACTGGAGATGATGTCTCACCAGTGGATTATCTGAGTGATGACAACTTTCACACACAGAGTCTAAATACCATACAGAATGTGTGTGTGCATGCTGAGGCCTTTTATACCAACACACATACTTAAAAGGAGCGTGCTACATTCAGACTTGAGGTGCAATTGCCTTGTGACTTCCTGACTCAGCGGCTGTCATGTAATGAGCATCTCCATGACCATTCCAAGTGCCACACAGTCGACGCGGGTGCCTCTCACACTAAGGTGTGGTTATGGCATTTTTTTTTTAAAACCACAAGACACAATTGTATTTTTATTTTTTAATGTTTCCTGCGATTTCAAAGATTGAACAGAATCCAGTCCAGGATGCTCATCAACCAAGTGTTTTTTTCTTTTTTTTTAGATATTAATTCCAGTCACATTCCAGATGTACGTCATTCTAAAGTGTAACAAGAGGGTCGTCGCTATTAATGGTAAAATGTAAAAAACAAACAAAAAAAAAAAACAAAAAAAAAAAACCCAAAACTGCATGTTAACTTTCGGGATGACTTGTGTGGTAACGGTAGCATTATACTTCTCTGAATGCAACTTCCGGTGTTATTTTTATTCTTCTTAAATTCTAAATGAGACTGCTCCTCTGGTTTGAATAAAAGACACCACAAAACTCCCAGTTAATCCATCTCCCATGACGACATGCATGACCGCGGTTCGATGACCTCAATTGAAAATGACTTGAGAGGTTCCACTTTTTAAAAAATGTTCTGCTCAATTTTTCGGTTTTATTTTTTCTCATTTTCTCACTCCACTGTCTTTTTTTCATGGTGATTATTGGTTTTTGTTTTGTTTCAGACACACACATGCACAAATGTACACACGCGTAAAGTTGCTCGAAAAGTAGCCTTTACAATTAACTGGATTCCTGCGTAAATAGTGTTCTGTTCCATATCTCACTCACAAGAACAGACCATTTTCTGACACATTCTCTATAAGACTGGCCAGCATTGACCAACACCTCGAATCTTGTCAAATCAATACGTCTGTAGGTTGGACGACTCCTGACTCAGATTAGCTCTTGCAGACGTCATTAGCGTATGGATTCGCATACCTTTTTCACGCTGCAGCGTGTATGTTTACCTTGTGAGGCCTACAAAAACATGAAGCCATATGATTGTTTGTGCGATATGAGTTCAAGAATACTGTGTTTGTCTGTTGTTGTGACGTGTGTGTACGTACGTGTATGTGTGTGTTTAAGAGAGAACGTGCAAGAGAGCACATGTGATTTAAATTGTCAGTAAAGATACTCATGGGTCAGTGCACCAGGTTCTCCCTCTTGAAAACACACACACACACACACACACGCTATGCAAATGGTTTGACATTTGCAGACCAACAGGTTAACGTCCTCCTTCACGATCACTGTACACACAATCTACCCAAATGCTTCCCCTTACCCTTAGTTTTTTTTTTTTTTTGTTTGTTTTTTTGGCCTTTCCCTGCGAATGTGTGCATCATTTTTGCCATACTTTTTGGTATACAGCACAACCTGTTGCTCTGGCATCGCGAAATTGTGTTTAGGTGGTCGCCTCTTTTCGTGCATTGATGTCATCAAGTACACTTCAAATGAATCCGATACATGACGAATGTAATCCATTACATGATTCCAGTTAAGCCTCAATCTAAAGCACCTAATCTAAAATGCTTCAATAAATGTTTACACACACCAAACAATGGCATTTAGTCCTTTTAAGCTTTTAATTCTGGTTTAACCTTTGTCCAAATCTATCCGTGACTTGTAGACAGGAACGCAATTCTTTCGACTCCTTAGTGTGAAGGGATTAGTGAGTAACTGGAAACCATCCATAGTGGGGAAATGGCTGGCTAATAACGGACTAAATTCTTGACACCGGGCCAGAACCTTAGAGGCACTGAAAGTGCTTGCTGTCATCGGAAGTCTGACAGAACTTACTTGTGTGGCTCTACTTGAGTAACACAAACGAGTCCTCCATTCAACATTTGTGTTTGGTGTTTCAAAAGTTTTCTTTTGCTGGATATCTTGAGAGAAATTAGAAGTTGTTTACAAGATTAGCAGCAGCTAGCTAGTTCAATATGAAGCACAACTGTCCAAGACGAAACATTTTTACCAGTTTGTTACATTCAGTTGATGCCAAGACAAGATAACGGATGTATTTAATCCATCTTTTCTTCCTATCTCAGTGAAAAATGTACAAAAGTTAATGAGGTGAAAAAATGATATGAATTAAGTGAAACTTTCTGACATTGGTGTGTATCCTTTTAATTGCAAGAGTCAAATTTCTGACTTTGAATAAGCACAATCCAACCCGAGCTCCTAAAAACACACGAAAAGGACCACTGCCGCGAATCAGAGCATGCTGTTGGCAGAAATGTGATACAATTTCATGCTGGTAACACAGAAATTATAGCAATCACACAATGCTAACCATTCACCATAAATTCAGTGTAAAATCTTGACCCGATGTCACTTTTGCACTCTGAAAGCACCTAAATTTCATTTCAGAAAGTCAAGGCACCGCAAGCCCAAATAGCGTCCCTATTTTATCTTAAACCGAGGCTCCTGTGAGTTTGAAACAGGATGCCTTCTCCTGCTTTGTCTTATCGCTGCACCTGAGCGTCTGTTTTCTCTTTTGGGTGTGGCCACCTTCAGATGAAGACCAAACAGTGACTGATGATCACTACTATCAGACATACCAAAACCGCGACTCAGCTGACGATAAGTGTCTTGTTTGCTCAGTGATGGTTCTGTCTGCAGCTAAAACCTTTCGGGGGGGAAAAGTTCCAGGATGGATTTATGTAAAGAATACCTATTTGTCTTTTTCCAGTGACTGCACTTTGATTATTATCTTTGTTCAAACATGCATGCAAACTTAGCAAGGTTTTGCTGGTGCGTCGGCCTCATTCTAAACCTGTGCTTAATGTGAATCCCTTTTGTTTGACTTTTTACTGCAATGCGTGTATTTTCTAACCCTCAAATATCCTGCCAGGTGTACCTTGACGAAAATACAACAAAACCTCAAAGTGAGGCTCATCAACATGCTGGCCGGACGGACGGAAGAGAGTTTGTCAGCAATCGATTCAATTCTTACCTTTTTTATATGATTGCGGCTGCAGGGGTTGCGGTGGGGGGACGACATAGTTCCGAGCATATTTTTAGTGGTCTTGTGAACGGAATGTCCATGTGTTAAAAAACCTGCAGGAGGGACGTCTGGAATGTTTTTACGCCAACTCAGAAGTTATTGTCCTGATGTGCCTACTAAGGAGACTGTGCAATTGTTTCTTTGTTTGTCCATATCCTCTATGGGAGGGGGACAATCACGACCTGCATCCTGCTTGGAGGGAACAATGCGCAAAAGAGGTCAGGATATCTCATCATGCTAAATGACATGAAAGCGACATTATGACTAATAAGACTCCTTTTACATCCACAACAACATGTTCATCTATTTATTATAGCGTTTATCCTCATTAGGCACATGTGTCAAACTCAAGGCCCGGGGACCAGATCCGGCCCGCCAGGTCAATTTATGTGGCCCGCGAAAGCAAATCACGTGTCAACTTGCGAAGATTTGTACCAAAATGTCAAATTGTCATATATGTAAAAAATGACGTTGAGATTTTGCAAGACATCCACAACAACATGTTCATCTATTTCTTATAGCGTTTATCCTCATTCGGCACATGTGTCAAACTCAGGGCCCGGGGGCCAGATCCGGCCCGCCAGGTCAATTTATGTGGCCCGCGAAAGCAAATCACATGTGTCAACTTGCGAAGATTTGTACCAAAATGTCAAATTGTCATATATGTAATAATAATATGATAAATGACGTTGAGATTTTGCAATAATTTTGTTACCCTGTTTACCCTCACTTGAACAATAATTGAACAAACTATTTTAATCGACTTGACTGATTTCAAAACTAGCAATTTATTTATTTGTTATGTACAAATAATAATTTTGTGGTTTCACTGTCATAACGGCCATCCGAGGGAAGGCGTAACTCCAAATTGGCCGCGACTAAAATGAGTTCGACTGCCCTGTCATTAGGCATACAGTTGATCCGGAGCCTATGCTAACTGTCGTTTATATTTTCACACCAGAAACCCTGTTTAATGCAGTCTTCAAATCTACCCAGCATTTGAGAGCTCCACTGGCTGGCAAACACACACTAGCGCAATCAAAGAGAGCAACAGTAGCATGATAACACCGGTGCCTCTTGAAAATGTGCTTGCTGCAGTTCAAAGAATGCCAAATGGTTATCTGGAATTGCTCGGAAAAGCTCCGTGACTGTTGACGTCACAGCAAGTCAGGCTCTGTGTCAGCCCTTGTGATTTCCTTTGGAGCGATCCAGTTTTGAATCACGTTTCAGCCTGATTCACAAAAGTATTTCCTCAGTAAAAACTATGCAGTTACAGTCGCAACAACACACAGTGTGTATGATGTAGTACTTGATAAAAAGATGCCTTTCAAAGCTCCGCTTCTTGTTTTTGCACGTTGGTCCTTTTGATGGTGGCAGTTCCTCTCTCCTGATTTGAATTGGCGATTATTTTCCGATACATTACTGCTTTGGCTGGCAACCAATCGAGGGCGTACTCCACCTCTCGCCCAGTGTCAGCTGGGATGGGCTCAAGCAGTTTCGAAAAGGGATGGGTTTTTGCTGTCATTTTAACATTAGCCCAGTTTTTGGATTGGCAGTTGTGTTCAAACTTAATCGCAGACTTATGAGATCACTTCAACCAGACAAAACACACCAAAGAGTCAGAATTCTTATCAAACCAAACCCATCAAGAGTGGACACGCCTAAGAATTCTCAGATGACGAGATGTTGTATTCTTGAGCAGCTCTCTCATTTTGGTCAAATGTATTTTAGAGTCATGGTGGGAGATTCATTTGATTAAAAATCTGGTTTTCTGGTGTCAAACCCACAGGAGCCTCGCCTGCCTGTCGGAAGTCTAAAGGAATTGTCTGTCTGGTTGCTGTTTGTGGTTAAATCGGCTGGTGGAAAAGCGGAGAGCCCCCTCCACTTGTTTCACACACTATAGATGTTATATGACTTCAGATGTATTTGGTCGACACTAATGGGATGAAATGCGAGTCACCGTCACCTGGTCACTGCCAATACTTTGCAATGATCTACATTCACCAACACCAAATGGAAATACACCAAATTTATGACGATCATACTCCTTGGAATAAAAGGGTATCAATGTGGCCCATCACAAAATGGCCTTTCCAAGCTGAGGAAAAAATTCTCTTCCTGGGTGTGGTTGCTGCTAGAACGGTCAGGTAACATTTCATGACTTGGCCAATCGTGAAACCTGCCCGATGACAGCTGGGATAGGCGCCGACATGCCCGCGACCTTTGTGAGGATAAGCGGTTTCGGACTTTTAAGGATATATGTCAATGTTGAAAGTGTGTACTAAAATGTCTAGCATTACTTCTGACCCATTAAAATCCACCAAACTGTTTCATGAGAATCTTGATCATTTTTACTAACGTCATTGATGATTAGGAGTTCAATGGAACACACGCCTTGACTTCCTGACATAATCGTAACTGACAATCCTCCTTTTTGCCGGGTGTGGCGTGAACTTACACTATGTCACCCGGCTGACTAAATGGAATCGAGAAACAACTTGAGTAATGAGTGTTTCTCCATCGCATAACAGCGAAGAATGTCATGTGTCATCAAGACTGACAACAACACAGCGGCGTGTTTGCGCTGCATTGAAAAAAAACAAGAAATATATACTGTAAAAACAGTTTTTATAAAAAAAGTGCACTTACGAGAATAACCTTGTCATGGACTATATACTTTTTGCTATTGAAATTTATTGTTGAGACATTCTGATGTTTGTAATTGACTTGGTTTTGACAATATAATTCTAATACAAGAAATATAGACTGTAAAAAACAGTTTTTAGAAAAAAAGGGCACTTACGAGAATAAGCTTGTCATGGAATATATACTTTTTGCTATTGAAATTTATTCTTCAGACATTCTGATGTTTGTAATTGACTTGGTTTTGACAATATAATTCTAATTCAAAATGTTATTCATCTCACATCTGTTTAAAAAAAAAAAACGTTTCAAAAGACAAGAGCTGACGCTGCTTTATTGCTTATTTATATGTCAATACTGGCAATTAATGAATGGATCTGTGGTGAATATCTCTCTGCGATATAATTGTAATTCAAAATGTTATTCATCTCACATCTGTTTTAAAAAAAAACATTTCAAAAGACAAGAGCTGACGCTGCTTTATTGCTTATTTATATGTCACTACTGGCAATACTGTAAGGAAAAAAGTCAAGCTAAAAGCATGTCTGCGGTTTAGGCCTGTGGAAAAGGAGGAGGTAACGGAGGGTGAGGGGGAGTGGTCTGAGGGGCGGACCCCGAGGGCCCAAAAGGTTTATATAGTTTAGCGGCTTCCCCTCTCTTACTGCCTTGTGTTTGTGAGTTCCCATTCCAGCCAGCCCAGCCTGTGCCTCACTCTCTTGAGTTTCTCCAGCAACGATGCAAACCTCCCAGCAAACCACATACTCCCTGCGCACCTCGTCCTCTGGCAAAGGCTCTGTCTACAGGGCCCCCACCATCCATGGTGGCGCTGGGGGGAACCGTGTCAGCATCTCATCCAGTGTGCGCAGTGGGCTGGGAGCGGGAATGGGCCAAGTTTCAGGAGGAGGCTTCTCCAGCAGCGTCCAGGTGAGCGGCAGCGGGAGCAGCATCACCGGCAATGAGAAGTTTGCCATGCAGAACCTCAACGACCGCTTGGCCAACTACCTGGAAACGGTCAGAAACCTGGAGCAGGCCAACCAGAAGCTGGAGATTAAGATCAAGGAGGCCTTATCCAAGAGCGGACCGGACTTCAGAGACTACAGCAAGTACCAGGCCATCCTGGATGACCTGAGGAGGAAGGTGAGGATGAATTTGGCCAATGTACTTTGTCATTTAAGCTAAAACCATGTGGCGAGTAGGATGGGGACTGCCAGGTCAAAGGTGAAATGAATGAATGAAAGCCAGAGTGAGAAGAATCGTGAGTGTGCTTTAGTGTGAAACCTGAAAGCGGTCGGTGTTAATCATCAGCATTGAATTACCCATCAGACAGAGTAGACTGGCCTCCTGTGGGTCCATGGCAAAGACTTACAGGCCTCCCTCCCCCCGCTACTGTGCCTCTGTGGACCAGGAACCGGGGGCTGGACCGGAAATAGAATGGAGAAGGATCATGATAGGTCACAGAGGCCGGAAAACAAAGATAAACAAAATAAAAAGGCCCAGGCATCAAAATGAGCAGCCAGATGTTTTTTTTTTAAATTGCTTATTTTCATTCATTGCATTGTGGTCAGAAAGTTCTTTGTGACATTCATCAAAAATTTTGTCAGCATCCAACTTTAAAAAGGTTCTCAGGACAGGAGTCATGAACATTGAGATACATTCAGGTACTTTAGTTTTCCAGCATTCCAGTTGTTTTTTATTAAACGCCTCACTGTGGAAAATTAAATTGGGATGGAAAACAATAGCAACTTAATTATTGTATATACTGTACAGGCAGTAAACAAACAAATATGATGGGGTCAGGGTTGTAAAAATATTACGTTTAATCCATTCAAAGGTTATTTTTTTCCCTAAGGTCTTGACATTATCCCAAACTATTGCCCGAGGGGGAGCCATGAGAATTATAATTAAATGGTTGTATTTAATTTACTATTCAGACAATTCAGCTCTTCAAAATATATTCCAAACAGCCTCAATTTTTTGGGTTGGTTGAATGCAACAATTATTTCAATGGTTTCTTCCACCCCCATCTAAGAAAGCACAAACTCTCATGTCAGCAACAACCACACTGCACTAAAGTCAACAGCCCATTGCAAAAACACACGCACGAACTTCAACACACAAACACACACCGCCCTGACCTCTAATGCCACCTTCCTTATGCAAATCACGTGCCCCCATCCTGTTGGCTTAAATATCCTGTTTGTCGGCAGGCCTGACGGCAGTTGACTCTGTGGCAATTTCTCATTGGCTCTTGGACTTTTTCACCCAGATGTCCCCCTCATTTATCAACTGTAATCTTTCCAAAAGTAAACAGTGCCAACTCCGTGTCTGTTAGACTGTACATATAAAGTCAGTCACTCTAACGTGTCACTTTTCCATTGGGAAAATAAAAAAATTCAATAAAATAATGGTTATTTAGCAGGAAAGTGTATATTTTGATAAAAACCCTCAGATGAGGGTCTTTAGACACAAGCACATGCTAATGCGAAAAACCTCTTGAAACAAGATACTTTAATTTAATGGTGCATAATTAAAAAAATAAATAAATAGAGTACATCAGGGGGTTGTTTCCATTTAAAAAAACTATCATGTGCTACATTTTTTATCTGCTTATTTTGGGAAATCCCATTATATATCTTGGAATACGTTAGCAAGAATTTTCGTAGGACACCATAGCTAGCATCCAGCCCCACTTAACTTTTGAGATGAACCTTTCTTGGTGTGACCGCAGTAAAGCAAAACGACAACTGCATTCATTAAATTCAACATCCAAAATGTTAACGTGTGGGCGAAACGTTAAAAAGCGGTTGGCCATTCGATTAATGTTTTGTATTTAAGAAAAGCTACATTGCTAACCGCGTTTGCTTGTTCTTTTTGTCATCCCATCAGCTAATATGTATTAGCCAAAATATATACTGCTTCAAGGCAGTCACCATCCCTTTTGTCTTTGAAAGCCCTTTAGCATGAATGTCAACAGAAAGCTTTTTTGTTCCACGCCTTGTCATCGAGTTTCAATTTAAATGGCATTCTTCTTTTGTCAACCTGTCGCAGGTGTTCGACGCCACCATGGACAATGCCCGCCTGGTCCTCAGCATTGACAACGCTCGCCTGGCGGCCGACGACTTCAGAGTGAAGTAAGACGCGATTGTTTGCTGTCAACCTGAAGCCCAACAGCTGCAGGCAAAACATGCTTGACTGCTGACTGGCTCCAAGGATGAATACATCGCTGTCATGATAATAATTGTCACGCGATGACAAATCATCATTGCATTTGCATCCTAAATTAAACAGTATTGGAAACAGCTAGCTAGCGGATGTTACCAAATACGCTAAATGCTAAATGTTCAGCAATTACTATCAGGCAAAAGAGTTTTCAGGTCAGCAAAGTAAATAAATATCTGAATTTGATCAGTTTTATCAGTCTTTCACACATAATCAATGTGTTATGATTAGATTCGAGTCTGAGATGGCTATCCGCCAATCCGTGGAGGCCGATATTGTTGGTCTGAGGAAGGTGATTGATGACACCAACATGAGCCGCATGAACCTTGAGAGCGAGATCGAAACCCTAAAGGAGGAGCTGATCCACCTGAAGAAGAACCACGACAACGTGAGTAAAAGTGCAAACAATTTTTCTTGGAGGTATGCTACAGACCCGTCCGTACAAATCGATATTTTTAGCTACCCATTTTGCTAATTATGCTCTTCACGGAATAACTTCCTTCTGATTTCTGATTAGCTAAAATGACCAAAGAGTCGAAAGCCTTTTCACACCACCTGTTAACCTGAGAACCTCGCAATGTGTTTTAATAAGGCCAAAGTTATTTTTGGCATAGTCAGAAATCATGCAAGTCAAAACGGAAAGGAATATTACTCGTGTGGACATAGCCTTGCACACATTTTCAGAGATTGCAGGAGGCTCTGGAAAATAATGCTTAGAATTTTTCAGTGACAATGTTTTGTAAAGGAAATCTGGAAGTTGTTTTCTGTCAAATCTAATATATAGCAATACCATCCATATTTGTCAATACATTCGGTAGCTTGAGAAAGTGTTGCTATACATGTACCCGTTTCCTATTTACTGACCTCAACAAGGTAATATTTGAAAGACACCATCTTCTGTCCTGCTGCTTCTTTCTCCAGGAAGTTCTATTGCTCCGTAACCAGATCGCCCAGTCGGGAGTCCACGTAGACGTTGACGCTCCTAAAGGTCAAGACCTCGCTCAGATCATGGCAGAGATAAGGGCTAAGTATGAGAAGATGGCACAGAAGAACCAAGATGAACTCAAAGCATGGCATGAATCTCAGGTAGATTAGCGGAAAATTTTCGGCTAAGCCCGCCGTCTTTGGTTGAGGTTCCTTATATACGAATGTTGATGTCTCAGATGACAGAAGTGCAGACCCAGGTCACTGTGAACACAGAGGCCCTGAAGACTTCCCAGACAGAGTTGAATGACCTACGCAGACACCTTCAAACCCTGGAGATTGAGCTGGAGTCCCAGAGGAGTTTGGTGAGAAGCACTTAACTGACTTAACTGACATACTTCACTGACCTGAGCACAACGCTTATCTCAGCTGCATGAAATGCCCAACTCAGCACCCGCACATGGACTTTGTTAGCATAAGCTTTACACACGGCTGACCCGTCGCTATGGTGTTGTCATCGGCCAGCTGGCTCTCCTGTTTTTCGTGCGTTAACCCCTTCGCTTCGTATCCGTTACACTTTTGCAGAAAGCATCCCTGGAAGGCACGCTGAGAGACACGGAGATGCGTTACAACATGGAGATCGAGTCGCTCAACAGTATCATCCTGGGCCTGGAGGCCGAACTCACACAGCTTCGTAACAGCATTCAGTTGCAGACCCAAGACTACGAAACCCTGCTCAACATGAAGATGAAGCTCGAGGCTGAGATTGCCACTTACAGACGGCTGCTGGATGGTGGCGATTTCAAGTGTGTACACTACTCAGACAACAAAAAAGCTGTTTTTGGGGAACTGAGTGGTTGGGCTTGGGATTTTTAATATTTTCCTCTTTTTTCCACTTCAGGCTCCAGGACGCTCTGGAAGAGCAGAAATCGGTGAAGACCAAGGTCATGACAGTGACACAGACCTTGGTGGATGGCAAGGTGGTGTCCTCCAGCACAGAGACCAAGAACCTCTGAACGCCAGATGCAGCCATCAAATATTCACAGCAGCAATAATAACAATAAACTCAATTTGGCCAACGCTGATCTTTTGTTCCAATTGGCTCGTGGCACCTTAGTTAAACAGTAACTAACCTTTAGACTAAAACGACTTCAGTGACTAGCTTGACTCTTTTTTAGTATAACCCCCGCCCACACACAGGCTGACTGAATCGAAAACTGGACCAGGAGAAAACAAAATCATCTGTTATTTATTTCATCGTAGACGTTCTGCAATTTATGTGTTTGTATGCTGGCCTGCAGATGTCGACTCACGCTACGAGGCCAGCTTAGGGATGTTTGGAAACAAAGTAATATCAAAGGACCGTTTTTAGAACAAATCATCACTTTTGTGACACCCTCGGTTTGTATTTCTGTCCGGTCGAGTCTGTCTGTCTGTCTGTCGTGCTGTGAGGTTTCAGACATATCAATAAAGTTCATTCCAGGGATTTGTGTGTCTTTGTGAAGCAATGAATAGAACTGCATATTCAATAAATATCCCATCAATTTTCAGTTACCCTCTCTAGGGTTGGGGGAAACTCGAAGCATATCCCAGCGAACTTTGGGCGATCGTCACACGACGCCGCGAGTTATTATCCAATTAATTGCCGGGCACTTCAACAGAAACACAAATTTCAAACTCATTGACACATCTATTGACATTGATCTGGAATCCCATCCCACGCTGGCTGTCAAAAAGTGAGTTCGAGTGAACAACACGACGCCCAAAGACGGACAGTCGACAAACACCACATCCTATTTTAAAATTTGCTTCCTTAAACTGGTCCACAAAATTATCAATGTGGGGTCTAACCTGCCCCCTCACAGAATAACACCAGGGGCAGTGCTGGAGCCGTTACAGGAACAGGGTCCGACCTCCAGACAATTTAGTCACGCATTTCCCACACTTTGCCAGCAATTATCTTCAAACATATCTTGTTTTGAGAAACAAATCTCTGAATTCACTTTACAGGGTCTGTAAATTAACACAAAAGACAAGTGAAACATGATGCACCAATATCATTTTGATTATAAAGTTGATCCTCACAGCATTACAAATTAACTTGAGAGATAATAATTTTACTCCTTATCTTTGTGTGGCACACGTCATGAACTCTTGGGTTACTCTCTCTGGCAATATAATGCTCTGTGCATTTTGCATCGGACTTCTGATCTTCAATAGCTATCGTTTAAAATTAAATTTCCAGTCAATCATATAATTTCAAAAATGAATTTTGTAAATCCGATCGATGACACAAATGGCTGATGAATGTGGATACCATATTTGGGCTTTTCACAAAGGGGCTTGAAACAGCAACAACAGCAATAATACTCCATGACGGTCTGGGACATGAAATCTAAAACAATGTTTTCTTTGAATATGTATATATTTTTAATGCACAGTGGTCACACAGATGAGTCCTGCTGACCTTTGAGCGACAGGTGGGGTACACTTTGGACTGGTCAGAAGTCACTCGCAGAATGGACTTCAAAGAAGAAAATAAAATCCAAAGAGTTTGAAAGTCACCGCTTGATAAAAATGAGATTCATAATGAAACTGAGCTTTATCATCCTATTTTTAATGACTACCCTGCAGAGTTTGTATTGGACATCATTAGATTAGATTGTGCAGGTGTCGATAAGGGTTTGACCATGTAATTATGAAACTTAGAGCATCCATTTAACTGCTATCGTAATCTTGGATTTCATATATACAGTTTCGGGAGTGAACACAACCAGTGTGAAAATGTCGGCACACCTTCATGTCCTGGCATCACCTCGGGTCTTGCTCGGACAAAGTCTGCACAAAATGGTTAAAGGTGAAAATGTAATATAGATAGGAGAGGAGTGGCAGGAGGGAATTCTGCCTTCCACGATAATATATAAGACTCCAGCATTCTCCTACGGCTTAACTCTCAACGGCCAAACATTTCTGCCCCGGACGTTTCTGCTCAGTCACCAATTGACCATGGAGGCCAAAATTGTCAAACGAAACGCTTTTTCGTGTGTGGTGCCAAATAGCCGTAAAATCTCAAGCCGTACCATTTCCAGAGCTGGCAGCATGGACTTCAGCGGGTACCTTGCAGACTACCAGCCCCACAGGTTCAATTCTGGAACCATGGCCATCGGGAACGAAAAGTTTGCCCTGCAGCAGCTGAACGACCGCCTGGCCAGCTACATGGAGACTGTGAGGAGCCTGGAGAAGGCCAACAGCAAGCTGGAGCTCAAAATCAGAGAGACCACCGAGAAACGAGGCCCTCTGGAGTGGAAGGAGTACAGCAAATATCATGCGATCATTGCGGATCTGCGAGCAAAGGTGAGACAATGAACATCGTTAACATGCAACTTGCATTGGTTCATTTCCCAATGCGCCATTCGCAATCGCTTACTTGTGACCGGTCTGGAGTCTTCATAAACTGGGTGCAGGTTCCAGCCTCTGCCCTGACCCAGATACTTGATAATAATGTGAGACTTGGTCGAGGAAGTAGATCATTCAGTGAAACGTGATGCACAGATAGCAGAATAAGCAAACATCAAAAACAAAATTCATCACGATGCAGACAAGCTAATTCAGACGTGCGTTCTCATTTTGACATGTTTAGCTGTAGCTCGAACTATAATAAACTTTGCGCTGTAAAAACACAGCTTTCCGGGGACAATATGTCACAAATGCCGCATAATAATGTGTGTATCACTTTCCCCCTGTGTCTATAATTTCACAAATCTCTACCTCGAAATCCAGTTCTTTAGCTTTGCGTGGAGCTGATATACTAACCAAAGTTGTATTTTCACCTGCTTAATTGATCACGGTGAAAATCATCATCTTTATATCCATCAATGTATGCAATCCTCATCACATTTCATCAACTTCATCACATTGAAATGAATGAATCAATCATCTCTTTGTTTTCAGATCTTTGACAAGATTAAGGGCAACATGCGGATTGCGATCGCCATTGACAACGTCCACTTGGCCTCAGATGACTTTAGGATCAAGTGAGTGTATCATTTTTGTAAGCTTTGGGATCCAATCAAAAAGCTAGAAAGCAATCTTAAATCTCTCTCTCTCTCTCTCTCTCTCTCTCTCTCTCTCTCTCTCTCTCTCTCTCTCTCTCTCTCTCTGTCTGTCTAGGATGGAGTACGAGCTATCTATGCGTCAGGCAGTGGAGGCTGATATTGCAAGACTTCGAAAGATTCTGGATGACACCAATGTGATCCGTCTGCACTTGGAGAGCGACATTGAATCGCGGAAGGAAGAGTTAATCACCCTCAAGAAGACCCGAGACACTGTGAGGGAGCGCCACCAGCGGAGCATCTCAGTTCACCCAAACATTCAACCAAACAAACATAAACATCATCTAAAAGTGTACCATGAGATGTGTTTGTTTGACTTACTGCACAGGGTAGCCTGTGCTCGGGAAATCACTCCCTGTTTATTTCCCCTCTGACAGGACGTTGCTGAATTGCGTGCCAAGATCACTCACGTCGCAGTCCAAGTGGATGTCGATGCCCCCAAAGGCCAGGACCTAGCCAGGGTCATGGAGGAGATGAGATCTCAGTACGAGAAGATCATCAAGAAGAATGCAGAGGAGCTCAAAGCATGGCACGAATCCCAGGTACCTCGAGTGATTCGTTTGAGACACATTTTGTTGAGCGCGATCGCTCGGAAGTCTCGATCTTCGATTTTGTGCACAGATCACAGAGGTGCAGGTCCAAGTGACTGAGCAGACAACGGCCCTGAAAGAAACCACAAAGTTGCTCAGTGAAACCAGGAGGAAATATCAGACGTTGGAGATCGAGGGGCAGTCGACACTGAGCCTGGTAACTTTTGTCTCGACTTATAATGAAGAATGTGGCATTATACATAATCCAATGATCAATCAAATAAAACCCAACTTCTTTTCAACCAGTTAGAGACCCTGAAGGCAACACTCCAGGACACTGAAATGCGCTACAATATGGAAGTGGAAAACTACAATGGGATCATTCTGAGGCTGCAGGAAGAGCTCACTCAGCTCCACACTGAAATCCAGCACAATCGAAGCGAATACGAGCTCCTCCTCAACATCAAGGTCAAACTAGAGGCTGAGATTGCCGAGTACAGGAGGCTGCTGGACGGAGGGAAAGAAATAAAGTGAGTTGGAGCGACTATGACAAGAACTTCCAAAGCGTCATTGTAGTGAAGAATGAAAGCCAAACCAAGACCAGTTTTGCATGCTTCGTTGACAGCTAAAAGAATCGTTGTTGTTCTTCATTTTTCCAGACTTGAGGAAGCCGTTAGCAAGAAGAAGGTCGAGACCAAAGTGGTGACCGTGACTCAGACTCTAGTGGATGGCAAAGTGGTGTCAGAGAGTAAGGACGTCAAGACCGGTGTGTTGGCGGATGTGTAGAAACTGAAAGAATAAACAGAAATAAAGCCATGCTGGGATGCACTATCATGCACGTGAATGTTTTTTTTTGGGGGGGGGGGGAGAATAAAAGGAATGAAAAAACTTTAGGATGGTGATACAAGGGTCCTCACAGTCAAATCTCTCAGTCGCCTTTACATCCTCTGACTAATATGGACTCATCCCCATGAAGCGACAGAAAACAGCCACAGAGGCTTCCTGTCTGGTTTCCTGCCAGCATTCTCCCAGCTCTGCATTGACTGTAGGAAATTCTTTCTGCTCCTGAAAAATGTACACTCTGACCCGTAGCATTTCAGAAGTGTCCCATACCGGGCAGAAGGCCATATTCCCATGCCTTGTGCAAGCAACCCATGTTTATCTATCTTCATGTTAGTCCTGCCTGCTATTTGACAAAAAGATTTGGAACTGGATGTAAAATTGTGTTGCAGAGCAAGAGACTTTGGGCGTTTGTTGCAGCCTGCAAACCATCTTGAGAGTAAACCAGACCAAATGAAATTCAAGCACTCATTTCTTTTAGCATTGATACCATTATTCCCCAAATTAAATGGAACCAAAATCATCTTCACGAGTTTTGAGGAAAGACCTGCCCTATATCGTTGACACAGGACATTGTATCATGGAACCTTTGAATTGAAACTGTTTGTTTAATAATTGGACGTAAAAATATGGTCCAAAAGAAGAACAAAACAAGAACAGAAATCAAAATGGGGCACAACTTTTCTGTTGGGTGTCACTGATAATAAGCCAAAGTGGCAAAGATGACATCCATCCATTCATTATCTCAAATATTTTAGCCTCACAAGGAATGTGGGTGTGCTCCAGCCCATACGTGCTGTCGTCGGGCAGTGGGCGGGGTATACCCTGAACCGGTTGCCAGCCAGTCGCAGGGCACACACATAGACCAACAATCACTCGCCCTCACAATCACATCTCAGGACAATTATAGAGTGTTCAGTGATCCTGCCATGCATGCATTTGGAATGTGGGAGGAAACCAGAGTACCCGGAGATAACCCACCCAGGCACGGACGGGGACAACATACAAACTGCACACAGGGAAGCCGGAGCCAGACATGAACCCATGACCTCTGCACTGTCAGGCGAACGTGCGAAACAGTCGACCACATTGTTGCCCGCCAGTATGACAACAGAACTAAAATCAATAACTTTTTTATTGAAAGTTGCACTTATAGGTGGCAATGTTTACAAATTTTCTTTGCGATGATAATAATTGTCAGTATTGTCACTAAGAGCGGTGCTGATTTACACGAATGGAAATTTGGTAAAGCCGCAGTCAGTTACTGATGGCAAGAAGCTGGACAGACTCAGAGTAGAAGGAGACAGGGAATTCCACAGAACAGCGATGGGGGGGGACGAAACACATTTAGGAGAAAAATGGACAGATAAGGAGTGACCTCAAAGGATGCAGGGGAATAACGTCTGCATGCCAGTAATTCCTCAGCAGGCCTCATAAATTTTTTTAGAAAACGGTTTGAACAATATCTTGGTCTCCCAATAGAGAGCAAAAGAACCCAGAGGATTTATTGCTCCTCAAACGGGGAGGGGAGACAGGCTCTCCCGAGGAAGGGTCAACGCCTACGTTGGTTGAGTTGTGTAACATCCTCAGAAGGCTAAAATGCCTGCCGTCACGGTGAGAGAAAGTTTCGACAAGGTTACAAGCAGTCAGCTTGGTCCGAAGGTTGAATGAGGTGAAATGGGCTTAATTGAATTGAATTGAATTAGGGGCGATTGTGGGGTTGATTCCACGTGAAGATTATGCTCGCTTCTTTTGTACAAGTCAACAAAAACGTCCCGCGTTCACAGAAAACGGTGTCACCTCCGGGCATACCGCTACCGGCGCCTAATAACCTTTATGGACTGACCTTGAATGAGAAGGGGAAACATATCAAAGCATTGAATAAGCGTCAATCCACGATTAAAGATAATTTCATGTCAGTTGGTGCATGCATGCTGCATCATTTGGAGTGTGTTTATTTTCACCCGACAGACTTCAATGATGTCATGAAGAGCAGCTTAATAATAGGTTATCAGTGGCTGTGAGTACTTTAGATAAACAGTTTAAAGTAGACTTGAGGAGTTTCCTCTGTTCAGAACTCTATTCAGGCCAGAGTCCAACTGCATAAAATGCTGCTGTTTCATCTGGCCTCTTTGTTTTCTGTCGTAAAACAGTAACGGGCTTAGCCGAGACACACACCGTGAATCATCGCGCCCTACTCGAGCCGTCACACAATTAAACACACATTGTCTTTCCCTGTGGCCTCGCACATCTGCTGGGTGCGGGTCATAGCGTAAGCCATCCGGCTTGCTGGGCCTCCTTCCAGTAGAATGAGGAGGCAGGGGGGAGGGAGGGGGCGGAGGCTGTGCGAAAGGTCGCAGAGATAGGACGGTAGCAAGAAAAAAACGAGGTTAAAGTAAATAAAGTGGAGCAATGAGAAAGTGGCTTGAGACTCACTTTTAGTGAATTTGCTGAAGCAGATTTTTTTTATTTCGCACAATTAACTAAAGATTTGCGTTAGCCCCAACTGACGACTTACAGGAAGTGTTTTGCAATCAGGAACCAAACAATGGGCTCATCGGTGACCAGCATGAGGTCGTTAACTTCACAGAGACAACAGAGAGTCCTTGTGATAATAGTCTGACCCTCGGTTGAACAATGACACTTCACAAATCTAAAAATCAAACAAACTGCTTTTTCTTTTCACAGCCGTAGATTAAAAGGAGAATGGGGACAAACGTAAGGCTTTACATTCGTGCTGTAAAAATGCCCAATGTGAGTCATAGCTTTACAGACTGAATTCGTTATTATTTTACCGGTTTGCAACGCAAGGGAAATCCATGACACCCTGAGTGACGACGAAGGCATAGTGCAAAGGCTATTTTTGTCGCGCATGCACTTCACGTGGGCTCATTGAAATCACATTCTTACTCGTCATGCAAGCCTCACGAGAAGTTACCCAATGTGAATCGTCAAACAAAATGACCTCAAACCACACTCTTTCTTTTTTTAAAAACTCATTGTTGGGTTGGAAATAAAATACAAAAAGCCAAAAGGATCAGGCCTTTGATGCTAACTGAACTGAGGTTGGACCACACACACGCATGCGCATATTCGGACTGTGGATAAAGACTATCGAAGTATGTCGGGATGGCGTACGCAACAAATTGTTCATCATACTGTCGGTAGAGTAGACCAAAGTAACATCAGGCTTCAGATCTGTTTCTGATCATGTTGCAACCACACACTTTTTCAACCAATTTAATTGGTGCCTTGAAGGGGCCGCAGATGTCGTCAACCACAAGTTTACCCCTTTCAGGGACAGCGGTTACGACAGTGGACATCTTATTATGTTATCAGGTTACAGTGGGGGCTCTTTAGCGCCGCCCTAGTGGCTCCCTGGAGCTTTTTCCAAAATGTTTGAAATTGGAAAAAGATGGGGGAGGGAAATATAGATTTTTTCTTTAAATATTGTTTTTATCGGAGGACAAACATGAGACAAACATTCTTGACGTTTAGCAATGCTGTAATAATGTGTAGAATAAACAATGTCAACATTTCTGTCAACTATGATTTGTGTCATAGCCTGCGACACACATTTTGATTAGCAAGGCGTGATGCCAGGCAACAAAAAAAACGGAGTTTCATGCACAATTGACTGAGGGTATCGGCAAAAAATGGGAATCTGAAGGGCCGAGGGAAGCATTTTGAAAACGGTATACGTGAGCTACAATAGTAGCCGCAAAAGTGCTTCCCATGCCTCTGCATCAGGCCTCGACGAAGGTAGGCAGTGATTTTCACAAACTCTTGCGTCTACTTTATTTTTCTGTTTCGTTCATCTTAGGTGCCGTTGTGTGTACGTGCGTGAATATGCGCGCGTGTACAGTAACGGATCGATCGCGGGAACGCACTCATTTTGATATAGGCTAATGTAGCTAATATAGATACATACGGCATGTGTTTCCTTCATTATAAGGCTTATATAAGGCTTATAATTTGATGATACATTAAAGAGTGCGTGCAAACACCAAACAAGTTGTAAGGAGGGCAAACGATGGAGAGAAAGCAGATGACTTCTGAAAGTAATATTATGAGGCGAGGCAGAGCGAGGGGGCGGCTGAGGGCAGTGACGTAGATGAGGCAAAGGGCATCTTAAGTAAGAACAGTACTAGGCACTGTTCCACCACCCAAACCCCTCATTTTCATTTTCCGGACATGTTGCATTGTGGAGAGAGAGAGAGAGAGAGAGAGAGAGAGAGAGAGAGAGAGAGAGAGAGCTGGGAATCCAAGACCTCACTTGAAGCGCTGAATCGGCTAAACTTGACACGGGTGACTCATGTCTGGTTTCTGTGGAAACTAAACCCCTCCAAAAAAAAAGTTAGAAAGTGGCAAGCCGTAAGGAATCAAGAAGATTATAACCTCTCGTCTGCTAAAAATACAGTAACAACAACTCCAAGATAAAGCAAATACCGTTGATGAAGGGGTGTGCAAGGGTCGTTTAAATGTCCATTCATTAACCATGGCACTCTTTAAATGAGTGACTAGCACATAGCAAAGCAAAGGAACAGAGTCAATGATTACATCTTCAAGCTATTCACGATACTGCAAACCTAACGACCGTGTCTTTCTTTTCATGGCATCTAATTTGAAAAAATCTTTTGCTTTCGTTCTCTGTCTGTTGTGTAATGCCAAAAGAACAGGACAGGGTATTTGCTTTCATTTTGAAATGTTCAACACCGGTGCCCACGACATGTCTTTGAAAAAATAAGTAATGGCTCCATTAAAGGTGTGACCAGTCTATTTTTTTTTTCTACAATGGAAATAAGTAAGGCCAATTAAAATGTATTTTCACAATGGCGAGGAACTTGAAGTCGCTTGAAAAAAAAAGTCCAATTTCATATTCTGCCAACAGCCACAATGGAGCATTGATTTTACAACAGCTCAAGAAATCCTTTTTGCCCTGAAACAATTTGGAATTGAGCCAAAATTTGCAGGAAAAAAAAAAGTAAAGCAAT